GTATAAATGTTTCATTGAAGTTGTGGGACCATAGAGTTTATAGCAGATGCAAAATGATGACTACTTAAAAAGGTCCTATCTACTACTAGTCATGAATGCTGGAAGACTAGAATTCCTTACAATAGCATATAAATAGTTACCGTGAGGATAGAGTGACTTAAAGGAAGATAGTGAAGGTGTTTACAAGAGAAGAAACTTTTAAGATATCAAAGAAATGTACAACATGATGCTGTCAAATATATGACTACCCTGATTTATGAATCTTACAAAGCAATAATAGTAAAATAATAGAGGCATAATAAATATTTGGAAGGCTATTTTAACTGAGATCTTAGTGGCTTGGTAATTTAGTTTAAACGAATCTGAAATGTTAAAGATCATTCTGACCAAGAATTAAAGTGGAGATCACAGACCACAGTCCTCTGAGAACATCTCTGAGGTGTTCTTAATGATTCCCTGGAACAGAAAACAGTTCCAGTATTTTTGTGTTAATTTAATGAGTGAACTCTTTGAAATTCTACCTAAGTTTATTATGTAGATAAAATAAGATGACACATTTTAAAATGGCCCAGCAGAGCTATCAAACCACAAAAGTACATGGAGAAAATTTAAATGCATGTTGCTAAGTGCAAGAAACCATCTCAAGAGGCAATACAAATACCATATGATTCTAAATATATGGCATTCTGGGAAAGACAAAGCTAGAGAGACATAAAGAGACCCGTGACAGCCATGGGGTTGGACATGAAGAGAAGGGAAGGAGCAAACAGATAGCACACATTAATGCATTTAGCAAAAACCACAGAAGTATGCAACACAGGGTCAACTCTAATATAAACTGTGCTCTTCACTCTTAATAATATATTGATATTGTGTTGTGAATTATAAAACAAGTACCACATCATGACAAGATAATAATAGAGGTGTGTTAGTTTCCTATGGCTGCTATAACAAAGCAGTACAAACTGGGGCTTAACACAATAGAAATTGATTGTGTCACACAGTTCTGGAGACTGGAAGCCTGAGGTCAAATGGTAGGAAATGGCCATGTTGTCTCAGAAGACACTAGGGAAGGATTTGTGTCATGGCTCTCTTCCGGTTCTGGTGTTCTTGGCCTCTACCTTCTCATGTTTCTCCCTGTGTCTTCACATTATCTCCCCTGTGTTGTGTGTCTTTTTACACCAAATGTCCCCTTTCTATAAGGACAGTCTCATATCAGGCTAGGATTCATTTAATAACCTCATCTTGACTACATCTTGACTAAGGCCACAGTTTGAGGTATTGGAGGTTAGGACTTCAACATTTTTTTTGGACAGGGGCACAGTTCAACAGAAATGCAGGAGGAAATGTGAGCAGGGGGAGGGGAGGAGTATATGGAAACTATATTGTCTGTACAATCTTTCTGTGCTCTAAGAAACAAAATCTATTAGTCAAAAAATTTTAAAGGCTTTAAAAATAACCCACCACATAGTACATATTTAATAAGTGTTAATTACTTATTAGAATGCATTGACATATTCAGTGCCCTTTACACAACAGACTTTATTCTTTTTTTTTTTTTGGCAGGACTGGGGCTTGAGCTCTGGACCTCACACTTGCTGAGCAGGCACTTGAGCCACAGCCCCTAGTGCTTTTTGCTTTAGTTATTTTTTTAATAGGATCTCATGTTTATGCCTTGTCTGACCTGGACCATAATCCTATTTATAGTTCTCACTTACTGAGGACACGCCACCATGCCCAGTTTGTATTGGTTGAGATGGGGGTCTTATGAACTTTTTGCCCAGGTTGGCCTGGAACTGCTACTCTCCCAATTCCCATCTCTCAAGAAGCTTGGATTACTGACATGACCAACTGTGCCCAGCTCGGATTTTATTCTTAATGCATTCTCAGACCAATGTTGGCAATGCCTAAAGTCCCCAGGACTCCCCCATCCCTATCCATTTACTACTCAATGTATGATGACTTGGAAGAAGACAGGATTGAATTCTTTCCAAAAGCCTTCTCCCCTAATAATTGAGTGCAAGATTAGAAATTCACCTGCTCACAAAATTGTCCTGCCTTGACTGCATTTATATGTGTGCACACATATGCAAACACACATACATGCATACACACACATACATCTCAAATGGCCTTTTACCTGCTACCCACCCTAACCCAGACAGAAGCAGAAACAGATCCCTTCTCCTAGTAAAGAAGCAACAGGCCAGGCACAGGGGTTCACACCTTCAATCCTGGCTACTTCAGAGGCTGAGACTAGGAGGATGGTGGCTGGGGGCCAGCCAGGCAAATAGTTCATGAGATCCCATCTCCAAAACAACCAGAGCAAAAAGAACTGGAGGTGTGGCTCAAGTTGGTAAGGCATCTGCAAGTGCAAAGCCCTGAGTTCAAATCCCAGCCACACACACACACAAAAAGAAGTCATGGGAAGCATCTATTATGAGGGCCACTTGCCTGTAGAGGAAAACAACAATAACCTTATGAATATAAAGCATAATAGTAGATTTCTCTGTTGAAAAAGACATCAGAAATTAAGATCAGTTTTAAGGAAAAAAAATCAAATTAGATTTACTAAGTAGAAATATAATTCCTTATCTAGGGAGGGAGATGGAGAGGAAAAAAGAAGTATTGGAAAAAGGAAACAATAACAAAAAACTAGCAGAAGAAATACCAATCAATAAATATTCCTCCTTATCTCTCCCCTTATTAAGAAGTAGGAAAGGAAAGGAAAGACAACAAGAAGGAAAGGGAAGAGAAGAAAGTTCAAGAAGCCTGAGGTCCTGGTGAGATACACGAGGACTTGCCTCTTGTCACCTTGTGCTGTTCACCTGGGCCATAAGCTTTGTGGAGTCTTTACCAAAAGGAAGAACAGTGTGATTTTAGGTCATCTGATCTGTTACACTGACTTATCCTTAATTAGGGATTTGCCCTGTTTAAAGAAAATGCAAGAAAACTTATTAGAAAGACAAATACTTTCATAGGTAATGATTTCTCTGCTATTGTTTTCACTTTACAAAAGAAGTTACATCAGAACTCTTTGAATGAATGACCATAATCCCCCACAAACACAAATTTATTTTCATTAAACTTTTTGAGAACTCATCTGTCACATACATGGATACACACCTCCTCTAACCCACATTTCTCTTTCATGCTACTCTGTCCATTTGTGACACCCAAGAGCTTTGTAGTTTATGGACACTCTCTGCCTTGACATTTCATCACTTCATTCGTTGCAAGTTTGTTTCCTAACCAATTTTTCTGAAAAGGATTCAGTACTGATTGGGGGTAGGGGAGGAAATGAGGGATTACCAGCTAAGAACATGCAACCTGCTGCTTCCAAAAGAGGGGTGGAAATCACAATTCTACTGAGACACAGCTCCTCTTATATAGAAAGAGTGCGAGAGTAGTTCGAAAAAGCTTATGATATAAAAATGTCCTGTTTTCAGATCAACCAAGAACACTTTTCATGAATGCACCTTTTCTCCCTCATACAAGACACACACACACCCATACACACACGTCTGAGAGTCATACCACGTGGTGCACAGATGTGTGCTTTTGCTCTCTCTTTTCTCTGGCTGATATCCACCTGATATCCACACCAAGAAAGGCACTGGTCTACAGCATTGTTGAAATACCATACTCTTTCTTTTTCTCTTTCTTTCTCTCTCCCTTGGTGTTCCCACACACATACCAGCATTCAATAATAGGTAGTTTTTCCATGGTTGGAAAAGAAAAAAATATGCCCCAGTAAGTAATAAAAGGTGAGGAGTAGGAGGAGAGAATGGGAAGGAGAAAAAGAATTCTTGTGGCCAATAAGGATGGTCAGCCAAAGTGACCACAGGAGTGCTCAGGGATATTACTGTCTCTGCACACCAGTGCATCTTGGGCCTACTTGGGACTATTTCTTCACTGTTCTTTTACACCTGCAGCAGAGGTACAGCTATAACAGGGCCCTGACAAGCAGTCAGAACACCTGCTTAGCTTTGATCAAAGGAGCCGCAAGCACTCCAAGCTACTTGGATAAATTAAGACAGGTGAAATAGTTTGCTTCCAGACAGTCCTCTTCCTCCATTTCTGTTTGCTGTCCCTATATTATTTAAGAGGTGGTTTCTCAGCAAGAGACTGTATTGAAGGAACAGAAGAATTCACTGTCTTACTGTATCCAGCAATCATGCTCACACTGTCCCTGTCCCTAGGGCCGCACTGCCCATGGGGAAACACCTTCAGATGGCCTCCTAAAGGACCCGCAAGTAACTAGTTTTATATTTTAATAATTATGGAGAGAACTGTCTAGAAAATGTAGAGAGATTCTTTATGGTTGATGAAATTCTAAAAGAAAAACTGGTTTGTCCCTTTGTCACTGGCAATGTTTTAGGAAGTACTTGTAGTCAGAATAAGATAGAACAGATTAAAAATTTAAAACCCAAATAAAAATCAAATTTTAATTTCTAAAGATTCCTAAGCAGCTTAAATGATACCATAGAGGATGAGAAAAGGATGGGGAAAAAAAATCAAACATTTTATATAGTTTTGTTTTTGTTGGCTAGGGTTTTATTTTTATTTTTGTGGGCTTTTTTTAAGGGCGGTGATTTCTTGAAAATAAAAGAATTTGGAGATTTATTTAAGAAGGTTTCTGAACTTGGTTTCAGAAGTCTAAGTTTTGCTTTTTGCTCCTTCAAAGAAAGATGTCATCAGGTGATGTTTCTAGGCTTTTACAGTGCCTGATTTTCTTACAGAGGGCAAATGGCTCATCTCATGTGCACAGAAAGGGCTGGAAAATATTTTTGTGATCTGAGTGCAGCAGAGCCTAGGATTCCAGAGGAAGCGGAGGCCTCCCGCTCCACACAGGAAACAATCTTCAAGCAGGCCTTAAATGCCAGATTCCAGGCCGAGTTTAACTAACCACTGACAGCTCTGTAAACAAAGCAAGGACAAAAAGAGCCCGCTTCCCCTTTCCTGGTAGTCATTTTGGGTTTGGGGGCTGCAGGGGAATTCTGGAATACTTGACTCCATGGCACAGAAACACAGGGGAAGCAGGCTCCTCATTTGAAGATCTGGAAAGAGAAGATCTTTCTGGAATCAAACCCATCCTGAAGGAGGTAGGAAAGGGTAAAATGGTTGGATTACATCTGGAGAAAAAGCTGGGATTTTTTGAGCTCCAAAGACAGTTTGGTCACAACTGCTTTTAAAAATGCTGCTTCATGGTAATGCTTATTCACAGCATTATTGCTGAGGCTGTTATTAAAATCCTGATGCAAATACTCTAACATATGCAAATAATGCCTAAATGCTATATTACTTTATATTACTTTATTTCTCTCATTTAGGTCTTACATACTCCTCTCCTTGCCCTTTTTCTTTCTTTTTATTTCCCCACTCTTCTATTTTTCTTTATTTGTTAGCTCTTTTATAACTTTTGTCAGAGGATCAGCAAGTTACAAAGAACAAAATCACTCAGTAGCTCTCAAGTCATCTTACTGATATTTCTGTCTCCTCGGGGTTTTGTTATATTTTTTTAATGTAATCCCAGCATCTTACTGTCTCTGATAGTTTTAGGAATAAGACTAAACTTAACTCACCTCAGGAGTCAGAAATTGATCTCTGGCTACCTTATCAGTCAGTCTTCTCAGGTTTTTTTCTTAAGAGTAAAGAAAAATTGGAGGGGTGAGAAAAGGGAAGAAGGAATGCAGTGACACATGAGAGGTGACAGTCTGACTCATCAATGACATTGACCTACCTCCTCCTCTTTAGATCCAGACACTGCCTGGGCTCCCTAAACCTGACCCCACCATGGATGATTTTGAACGTCGCAGAGAACTCAGGAGGCAAAAAAGGGAGGAGATGCGGCTTGAAGCAGAGAGGTAAAGATCCAAGTTGACAAACACTTACTTGAGCTTCGTTATTATCAAGCATGGTTTCAGGTCTTTCCTCTACAGGGCCAAATGTTACTATATTGAGCAACAACTCTTTGTAAAAGTAGTTATGGACGGTTTTCCTGTTAAGACTGTATTGTACTAAAAGAAAGAAATGAGAAACAAAAGCTATCAAGAAAAAGAGAGATTTGAGAAGAGATCAAATAGTTCCATTAAATCAATGCTTCTCATAATAGAATTTTTAATGGCAAATGTGATGTGTGAATAAAGTTTTAAAAAGTATTAATGATATTGAAATGATAGAAAGATGCCAGATATTGGAACCAGTTAGGAAATGAGTCTTCAATCTAAACAAGCACCAGATGAATCTTGTGACAAATTTTTATTCTTATTAGAAAAGTATTGAAGCCCAGTAATTTACAAAGTAAAGGTTAGTAGCCAGCAGACTGCGTTACTGTGGAGATTGTGCAGTTGAAAACTCTTCTGTTGTGTGAGGCCTCAGTAATGGCAACTTGAAGGGCCTTGGGGAAATAAAGCAAGGGCATAAATGTGTATTTTAACATTTTAGGCCTCAGTGCAAAGGACAGTGGCATTTAATGTGCTTTAAGTCAGATGTTCTTTTGAGAAAGCAGACCAGGAGAAACAATGGAGGAACAGGGACGGACAATGATCTTAAAATCCAATCAACTTCACCTCTCAGTAATCCCAGTGCGCACATGAAAAGATAGCAACAAGGTGAAAACTTTTACCTATAACAAAAATATTGAGGGCTCTGTGTTCTACGTATTTGTACTAAGTATACAAAAGAAGATAAAATCCCTGCCTTGGATTAACTTGGCCAGAGTAGACAGCCATCATGCAATGCCCACACACATACACGTGGCACTATATTGGTACCTGTGATCTGTTGGATCAGACCTTACTCTGCCACTTAAGGATCTGTGCCATGAGCAAGTGGCCTCTGTCTAAGTTGCAGTTGACTTATTTATAAAATAGGCATAATATATTGTGTGGTTGTATGAAGATTATTCAACTTCATTATTGGCCTTGCCCAGTTCTTGGCACATAGTTAATAGCCATAAGTGACAGCTATTGTTGTTGTTGTTATTAGTATTATTACTAAGTTCTTGGCAATACTGGGGTTTGGACTTTGTGCTTTGTGCTTGCTAGCACTTGAGCCCTGCTCCCGGGCCTTTTTGCTTTAGTTTACTTTTTAGATCTTGTACTTTCCTCAGATCCTGATCCTCCTATCTCTATCTCCTGAGAAGCTGGGATTATAGGCATGCACCAGTATGCCCAGCATTTGTCATTTTATTGTTATTAACCACCATTACAAGTACTATTATAATATAGCTGGAACTAAATACTAATGCCAAGAGAAGGAAAGGCAGTCAATCATCTTAAAATGAGATTAGTCAGAAAAAGCTTTTTGGAAGTTGCAAGCTATAGAAGAAGTAATGATAGTGATGAAAGCTCACAGTGGGGAAAGAACCCATGTGAAAGAAACATCAAGTGCTTAAGGAAAAAGGGGTTGGTCTTGCACATCTTGGGTATTTCTATTTTTTTTATTTCTTTTATTCATATGTGCATACAATGTTTTAATTATTATTTAATCTATTTTTTAATTTATTGTTTATTATTTATTTATTGCTAAGAGACTTAACAAGGGAATTATGTGTGATGAAAGTATGTTGGCAAAAGTTATCTGCAGTGGACTATAATATGCGACACCAGCACAGGTAGAGTTGATAAGGGCCCGAATCAGGGTAGTGACCATTGAAATGAAGTGATCATATGTGAGAGTCTTTATAGAGGGAGAGTTAGCAAACCTATCAGAAAAGGGAAAACCTCAAAGAAATTCCAAAGACTGGAAGCCTGAGCTGCTCTGCATTGTCCCAAGTGAGGGAACCGGGAAGGATTCCATTCTTGGGTGGCCATGGGAGAAGCGTTTAATTTCAGGTGGAAACCATATCCAAATAGAGATTTCCCTCCAAGCACTAGGAGATAGGAAATTTCAATCTTTGTTCTGAAAGAAAGAGAAAAATTATCAGAAAAAGTAAATTTGGGTAAACTCCATATAGTAGTGGTATTATAAAAGCAGAAGTGATAGCCCCAAGAAAGTAAATATGAAAAGAGTGAGAGGTCATGTAGGCATGAGGAAAACCAACAAAGGAGACAAAATAGTAGGGAGGTGCGAGGATCAGGGAGAGTATGAAACCCTGTGCTGAGTGATATCAAAGGTTTACAGGCCATGTCGAGATCCATTCTTTCCAATGCAGTGTTATTTGGCCTCAGGATTTCCTGATGGTCCACAAAATACCTTCACCCAACAAATATTTATTAAGCACCAACCAGATTTCAGTGTGTGTGCTACCCATGGGGAAAATAATGCTGATAAATAGATACAATTTCTTCTTCTACGTATCTGAGGATATGCTAGAAAACCACAGTATTTGGGTTCAGAAAATAGGTTAGGCCAAGGGCAGTAGCAGGCGTAAGATAGTTGGAACTAGGCTGCAGGAGGAGGGACATGAATATTGGACATCAAGCTAGATGGGTATTTTCAGTTTCTTCGCTTTCTACATCAATAGATAGTTAGGGAGCCATTGTGGAGGAATGATAGTACTAACTTGCCTTGGTTAGAGCCATACTGTGATTTAGAGTGAATAAACCAGGTTTTTAGGTTTTTTTCAGGTCCAGAACTTCACCTAAGACTTGACCACACAGCTACTTGACTCATTCCTTCCAGTTTGGCCATGACTGGGGTGGTTGGGGAATATAGGTGTGTAAGGATTTGTCTTCCTTTAATGTCAGTCTTACAAGAATGTACACAGTGAAGCTTAGTTAGGTACCCTTAATAATATTAAAAAAATTACACAAATTTATCCTAACCCTGTTTAACTGACATTTCTGTCTATATTACTGCTTTTGTTATATTATCTGTCCTCTCTCTCTCCCTCTCTCAGAAAAGTACTTAAATACTTCTTTATATTTCTACTGTGTTTCCCTTTTCATGTTTCAAGGTAAACCTTCCAGTTCTGTTATTTGGAGATTTGGTAAATCCATGCCCACACTTCAGGGTTTTGTAAAATCTGATCATTTATGAGAGTAATGAAGGCCAGGCTTAATGGTCCAGCCAACTTTAATGGGAAAGTGCAGGGTGTGTCTAGGAAACAGGTGGCCAGAACCAGAAATCAAGGCTGTCTACATTCAGGTTCTGATCTGAACACAAAGGAGCACATGAGACCCCAGGCAAGTCCCTCTTCATTTTAGCTCTGGACCTTGGCTTCTTCCTCTGCCACAAGAGTGGGAGTTTTCTCTTGGGAGGTTGGTGGTCATTTTTAAATTTCCTTTTGCTTTTGGTATTGTCCATTTTTTTTGGAATGATCGTATGTTGCTGTATTTAAAGTCAAATAAACAATAAGACAATTTTCCATTTTATAAAAAAATAATTCTCTGACTCTACACAGTATACATGGGGCCAGGCTGGAGAAGAGCTAACTTTCCATGGAATATAGGAAATAAAAAGAAAGTGCTCACTCCAGATTTGGAATAGCAGTGAAATAAATGAGCCAAAATAGAATGATTCCAAGATTAAGAGCTACAGATCCATTCATCCATACTCAACACATTTTCATTGGGCATCTATTTTGTTCCACGTTCTGTTTAGGATTCTTAGGATAGAGGAATAGAATGACAGCATTAGGAAGAGTGTGGTTAATGCATTTCAACCTATATAAAACAAAGAAATGATCAGGAATCTGTATTTTTATAACCCCAAACATAGTGTGCTCCCTGGTACTGGCTTGCTCATTAAAAAGAACTTATGCCACTTAAATACTGTACCCTTGTACCACTTTGAGGGAGGGGTCCCACGCAGAAGAGAAAGTCCATTGACTTCCCTTGTACACAAAGGCTTTCTGAATAACATGACATGTTGTTTTAACTTGATGTTATTGAGTTTATTAGTAGGTGTAATTCTACTTTGCAATAATAATTTAGAACTTATACACTCATCAGATGTCATAAGCGAAAATTAAAATAAGCCAGATTCTTAAACGTTTTATTTCTCAGAAATGGAGGATTTTAAAGATCACTTAAAAGGCTAACTGCACACTTTGTGCTATATTCCCTTTCATGTCCGTGGGACTGTCATTTATTCACTGCATCGTGGCTGCCTTGAAACTCTGCTGAACATGTACCCTAATTCTGAGGTCATCATTCTATGTCAAATTATACAGTAATTCAGACTACAAACGTAGTTCATCAAAACCATCCTTCCCTTCTTTGTCTTGCCCCTGAACCTATGCAGCTTTTATGCTATTCACCTTCTCCTTGTCCTTCATTTGACCTTCTCACTCTAAGTCTTTTCAATGAGTTCTTCATATTTGGCAAAAAGCAGATATTCCATTCTGTTATCGAAAAAATCAAAGTTGAAAATCTACAAAATGCAAGATCCTACCTCAAACTAAAAAGATCAGTGGCCACCAGTGGGGATAATGTGCCAATAGTCACAAAGCTCATACCGTAGGTAGATTAGTAACTGCAGTGTGATCTTTGCCAAGAGGGAAGAAGAAATTCTTCAGTAGGCAGGAGGAGTGTGCAGGTCATTAGTGCAAATCCATATACATTGCTTCTCAGCAAGACATTATTTGTACACATTTCAAATTTAACTATTTTCAATCAATTACCTATTTGAACAAATAAATATTTAGTTTTGCTGCTTTTATTCTTCACCAATCTCGTGGGAATAAAAAATCACATATGCATATTCTGCTTCCCTGTTTGTTTCTGTCTTTTATTGCAATTCCTCTCACTCTGCTTTCATCGCTGTCTTCATCAGGCACCTTCATGTGTTTTCCTCAGGTCCACATGCATCTTCATGAACACTTGATTCCATATCTCTTTCTCTTTGTACTCCAAACTATCTACTCTGGATTATGTATGCACATGCATTTGTTTCATCAGGGGATACATACATCTGGGAA